TGTTTGTTCTTTCTGAAGACCCCAATGGCAGCTCAGGCTCCATCAAATGATCTTAGAGCATTCAAGATTTTATAGCAAATCATGATAGATCCATTATTCCAGAATCACAGAAAGAAAAAAAAGCAAAGCTCTTAATCTTAGTATTCTCAGAGACACTTGGAATTTGGTATAATAATGTGTTTTACACCACTTTATCTTTAGCTGACCAGCACTTAGAGGAGAAAGAGAGGATGGATATTCTTGTGGAATTATTAAAATTTGATGTCGCAGAGATGAAGAGCTTTGACAAAAAACAAACAAAACCTTTTACACAGGTCTGTCTCCTCTCAAAGTTATCAGACCTTGTTTCTTAGGAGTCTTATCTCTTTTTTTTCCATCTTGGTATAACCAAAGATGATATTCTCTCATGGAAAGAAGAAGGAACGTCAATTTTTGAGAAAAGTCTCAACAATAAATCTTTCAAGACATTTGTGTCCAGTGAACGTCAATTAGCAGTTGCGAATAAGAGGGCTAAAAGACCAAATAAATTTTTTTTTCTGGGAATAATATAAATATATATATATATATATATATATATATATATATATATATATATATATATATATATATATATATATATAGTATATATATATATATATATATATATATATATATATATATATATATATATATATATATATATATATATATATATTTATATATATAAACATGACTTTTTACTTGTGGCTTTTTTTTATGCAAGCCTTAAGTTTTTAGGTAGAGTTCCTGCTGTTATAATTAATTGAAGAATTCTTAAATGTTATTAATTTTCTAAAAGTTAAAATAAAATATCATTAATCTTCATACCATTTACTAAAATACTGTTAAAGATATTTAAACATTGGTTGTTTACAATGCAGTACTTTTAATAATTTTTACATTGCTTTAATATTAAATAATATTTTAGTTTAATTTAATTATCTAACAATTAAATGACTAAACTAAAGCCATTATTAAAATTTTAAATTTTTACATATATGAATATTTTTTGTGATGAATTTATTGTAGATTACTTCGTTTATACTATGGATTTTATTTGATGAAGTGTAAAGTTATTATTTGAAAAGTCTAACAGATAGAGTTAACTCATTTGACACACCTAGCTCCCATGTTACAAGTCAATTTTGCTCTGTAACATATGATTATTATTTTAAACAAATATTGATATAACTTTCCTGTTTTTGATTTGCTGTATTTTCTACAGTTGATACAATAGAAATTTAATTACCTGAGAATGTGGCCCTAGTAACTATTCATAAAAAAGGTAAAAATTAAATTTAAAAACATTATAAACAACTGACCATCACAACTGTTGTTTTCCAATATCCACCCAGACTTGCAAGTACAATTGTAACTTCCATTAGTGTTCTCACAATCACTGTTAGTCAAGTTGCAATATTTTTCTAATTCATTGCATTCATTGACATCTGAAAACATTTATAAAGTAAAATTCAAAATACTTATTTTTGAGAATAACATTCAAGACAAAATATATATATATATATATATATATATATATATATATATATATATATATATATATATATATGGGTAGAACAAAAAAATGAACAGCCTGATGTGATACTAGTGACTATCCATAAAAACAAAAAGGGGAAAACAAATTATAAAAACAATACAAACAACTGACCAACACAACTGTTGTTTTCCAATATCCACCCAGACTTACAAGTACAATTGTAACTTCCATTAGTGTTCTCACAATCACTGTTAGTCAAGTTGCAATATTTTTCAAACTCATTGCATTCATTGACATCTGAAAACATTTATAAAGTAAAATTCAAAAAAACTTATTTTTGAGAAAGTCATTTAAGACAACATATTTATGGGTAAAACAAAAAATTATATTAAAATTATTTACATTTAATTTTATTTTTATTTATATTTAATTTTAATTATAATTTACTTATATTTAATATATATAATTATTTATATTTTAATTTTAATTTAATTAATTATATATTAAAATGTTATTTATATTTATATTGGATTATTATATCATGTCTTATTTTATTTTTATTGTAAAAAACTTTCATTTCAGTTGGTCATTTTGTCACTTGTAAAGTGAAACTTTTTAGTACTTGTACTTTAAATGTACTTTTGTACATTTTTATATATTAACATAAATATTTTCCAAACTTTATAAATGAAAAGCTAGGCATTATTTGTACGCGCGTACAATTAAGAAAAAAGGTTATTTGTACCCACGTACAAATAATTTTTTCTTAGTATGCGCAGACAAATAACTTTTTCTCAGTTGTATGCGCGTATTTAAGTTATTTTTAATTATTTTGAGGATTTTACATAAAAGTTTAATTTAACTTAATTTAACATTATATATTTTTTATACAAATTAAATTAATTTATACTCAATTTAAATAAATATTAAAATACTTCTCTTTTATTTTAAAGAATACCTGCCAAAACCTTAACCCTCAGTAGATATATGTACACTCCATTACCCCTATCCCTATTTAAGTCAGTCGATGCATGTTCATGCTACTGCGCCTATGCCTATTTAAGTCTGTTGATGTATTTACACTCTACAGTGCCTATTCCTATTTAAGTCAGCATACTCCACTGTGACTACATCTAAATCAGTCAATTTATGCATGCATTGATGCACTTATTCTATGAAGCCTTGAAAGATAAAAATAAACAATAAATATAACTATAAATAAACAACAACAATAGTTAAAAAACATAAAATTAATTACAAATGAAACACTAAAATTAAAAATAAAATCTCCCAAATAAAGGATTTGAACCTTAACCCTGACACTCCCGCCTTAAAAAAAGAATTTCACAGCCACTGCGCAACATCAATATATAGAGTACGCAAAAAATTAAAATATATGAAAAATTTTGGCGTACAAATAAAAGTTCTATTATGTAAAACTTATTTGTACGCGCATACAAATAATGACTTTGAAACAAAAATTACATTTTATCTTTAGTGTTGGTTTGTGCAAACATATACCAAAACCAATGAAATATGCATGCTGATTTTTGTATATTATTTTTTGCTAGATTAAGGATGTAGTACAGGTAGAGTGTTACTTGAATTACTCTTTATATATTAGAAACAGGGCTCTCTCGATACTCTAACCCCTCTAGAAAGTTAAGTAGTACACAAATTTGGATACTAGAGTCGGTAAAACTGGATCTGTAGCCAGTAGTCGGCAAATGTTAATCAGAGAAGACTTTTTTCTAAAGAACTTGTTGCCAAAAAATTTTTCTCTGCCTTACCTCTAGGTCATCTCCCTCTTTCCTTTAAAATTTTGGGACAACCCTGATTAGAAATTTAGTAACTTAAAAGTAAAACTTTTGTATTTTATAAAAAGGTTACAAATTGGTTATGTATATTATACTAACTCTAAGTAGTGTTAGAATGTGGCACAACTGTTTTGTCTTGATTGCTTACTTTATAACAAAAAATATATATATATATATATTTTAAGAATTTTAAGTTTTTATAAAGCCACAAGCAAAATATATTATCTATAAATGTATTTTATGAAATACTTTTCGTATTTTTATTCAAAATGTTTCTGATATTTTTTGTTTTTAAATATATTTGATTATTTATGGTTTTTTTTAGTTTTACTCTAATATATTTTAGCTGTCCATGTATTTTTTTTTGTGAACAATTTATATATATATATATATATATATATATATATATATATATATATATATAACCCTCGGAATCAGGGCCGGCATTCTGCATTAAAGTAGCATATGAACAATATATATATATATATATATATATATATATATATATATATATATATATATATATATATATATATATATAATATATTTAATTGAATATACTATATTTAAATTAAAAAAAATGTTTATTTATTTATTTATAAAATGTTTATATATATTTATTTATAAAATACCACACATTTGCGCACATTATATTATTAAATAAAAATGTTACATCGTAGTTATGAAAAAATAACAAACATTTTCTACTAAACTATAATGTATGATGCTACATTTTAATACATAACATTTTTATAGGGAAATAGAAATGGTAATTAAAAATTTTACAAAAAGGTTATTAATTCATTTCTTAATAAAAAAATAAAAAATGTTTAAAGGTAAAACTAAGGTAAATAAATGAGTTTAAATAAAAGATCTTAAAATTAACTTATGCTACATTATTTGTTGATTAAAAGCAATATAAGTAATATTGGTGATCGAGTAACTTATATATTTTAAGTTACAAAACAAAAGAAAAATTCCATTTATTTTAAGTTTATACAAATAATTAGTCGCTCCCATATCTAGAGATTTTTCATAAAAACTTATAAAAGTTATTGAACCAAAATTTTTTTGATGTTTTTTATCAAAGAGTAGAAGCAAATTTTAAAAAAATTCTTTATTGTGTGAATAATATAAACATTTTTAAAAAATGTGCTAAAACTTTGAGATGAAAATTAAATTGTGCTTTAACTAAGTATCACTATTCAAAACCCTAAATTAAAAAAACATAAGACTTAATATCAACATACATATATTATTAAAAAAATTTTAGTATCATAACAAAACATTTATTACATTATTGTGTATTTTTTAACATAAGTTACATGAAATTTGCAAAAAATTCTTTTGTGATTTTTCAAAAATTTTCTTTATAAAAAAATTATGGTTTTTCAAACATAAACTCAATATTTTTTGGCCATATACCCAATTTCCTTAGAGTCATGACACAATGCAAGTCATTAAATTTTTTTTTTGCATGCTTAGTTTCTCTATCTCCTTTATGTTTAATGATACGCTCCACTGCACCATCTTTAACATTGAAAAGAGGTTGATTTAAGCAATCGCAACTTGTGATATCTGGAAAAATAGTAGTCTAAATCTTGTTTTTATAGAGCAAATTATCTAAAACTGGCAAATAAGTTATAGTTAAATTGGTAAATAAGTTAAATTGGCAAATAAGTTATAAAATAAAACATTAAACTTACAACGACATAAGTAATGACACTCTAACTGTATTATAAAAGTAATAACACTATAGTAGTGTTTTTAATTTTATAACACACTTATAACTTTTATAATTCATTCATTGTTCAAACAACATAAGTAATCCCAAATTGAAAGTTGCAAAAGCAAAACTATATAAGTTTAAAAAAAAACAACATGCCATCATAGATACCTTGATTGAACTTTGCTAACCAATCAAAAAGATATATATATATATATATTTATGTATATATATATATATATATATATATATATATATATATATATATATATATATATATATATATATATATATATATATATATATATAAATATATATATATATATATATATATATATATATATATATATTTATATATATATATATATATATATATATATATATATATATATATATATATATATATATATATATTTATATATATATATATATATATATATATATATATATATATATATATATATATATATATATATATATATATATATATATATATATATATATATATATATATATATATATATATATATATATTAGACTGCTTCATTTTGAGGTCATGAAAAAATTTAAAGTACTATGGAGTGTCATCTGCTGCGCCAACCCTTATTATAGTAGTAGAATTTTTTTTATTTTAAATTTTGACCACTTTTAGGGGTTGCTCAAGTGCCTCAAAAGTCATATTTTAAGCTTTTTTTACCCTTTTTTAAGCTCATTTTTCGTACGTTTGAACAATTACTAAAACTCAAAAAAATTAAATTTTTTTTTTCTAGAGTTTTTTCTAAGTTAGAATAAAAAAATTAAAACGCATGGTAATTTTATTTTATTGAAATAATTTGTGTAAATTTCTCTACAAAAACGCAAAGTTATGCAGATTTTTACCACGATGCGCTTCGCGTTAATTTAAAAATGTTGCGTATTTGCTTAAACATGTTATGCAAATTACTTTTTAACGAAAACAATATTTAATTTTGATTTCAAAACGCGAGAAATAAATATTGATTACTCTTATGATATACTTACTCCATATACTTATTTAAGCTATTTACTACAGATTTATTCATGTCAAAAAAAAGTCATAATATACATAACATATGTCATAAATATACGGATGGAAAAAAATTGAAACAAGATCGATTAGCAATATTAATAAACGGTAACAAGGAAATGCACCTGTTAAGAATTCCACCCATTTTTTCTGGAACTGGCGAAAATCAAAAAAATGCAATCAGAAATATCTTAAATAGCTTTAACCTTACAGACAATATACAAGCTGTTACATTTGATACTAACAGAATTAACACTGTAAACAAATATGGAGCTGTATCTTTACTGGTAAATGAAGTCTTTCAACGACCAATTCTATCTATTGCATGCTGACATCATGTCAATGAGCTGCTTAATTAATTATCAAAGTAGCATTACTTTTGGACAAGATAATCTGCTGTTTAAAACTTTAAAACCAGCATGGAATGATCTTGATGCAGACAACCAGGTAGGTTTTCACAAAATTAGCTGCCATTTTGTGAAATACTATTTTTTCCAAATAATTTTTTTTTTCCCATTTTGAGTTCTTTGAATTTTTTTTTTTACGTTTTGAATAAATAAGGTTTTAAGAAGATTGACTATTCCAGAGGAAACATGACTTGGTCATCAAAAGCATGAAAGCATAACGTTCTGCAGAAATATTATCACCAGTGGGTCTCTAAAAAAGGTAGCCAATAAGTAGATATCTGAATTTGTAGTTATCTATGTAGTATGTATTTTTATGTTGAAATTTTTTTATAAAATTTTCTTTTTTAATTCTATTATTCTTTATTGTACTAATATATATATATATATATATATATATATATATATATATATATATATATATATATATATATATATATATTAAGATGTAATTCTTAAATAGTCATGCGGCATTGAAATGAAAACACTTTGTAAACTTTTTTATTAAACAATATTTATTGAAATTATTTTTATAATTTAATCACATATTTAAAGTAGTTAGCGGAAAAGAAGGTTTATGTAAACAAAACATTTTGACAAAAAAAAAATTTCAAAGGACATATTTTATTGTTGGTACAACTTGGATGTTTATATAGAATAATAAGAAATTATTAGAATAGGAATCAATCAAAGTTTTAATAACCACCATTAGTAGAGTTAAAAATAACATGACGAGAGTTAAAAGAAAAGATGACTTAAATGGTAAAAAAGCTGAAGGTTGACATTGACCATTTAAGCTAAACTTAAATCAAATTTTTCAGACAAAAAACTTATTAATAAAAAGACAAACTACCAATTTTTTCTGAGTTATCTAGAAAGTTTAAAATATCAAGAAAGTCAAATAAATGTTACATTGATAAAATATTTAATTTTAATAAAGTTTCAAAAAGATGTTTTCATGCATTATCACCGTGAGCAATCGAAAAAAGATTTACAAGATCAAAGAAACTTTACGCATAAAAAATTTTTTTAAAACAATTTTTAAATATGTTTCCATTTCAATGTCACATGACTGTAAATATATATTAATAAAAATGTCTATTAAAAATATTCTTATCATTTTTGTGTTCACATTTTTTTATTATATGAAAGCACTCAAAGGTGTAAGAGTTAAAAAATTAGTTATAATTAAATATTAAGTATAATAATTAAATATTAAGTTCATTATTTATATTTAGAACAAGAAGAAAATTTTTTTTTTTTTTTTTAATTGTAAAATTGTTTTATACTTTTAAAATATATTTTATTATAGTCTATCGAAGTAAATATTCTGAGAGAGAGAGAGAGAGAGAGAGAGAAAAAGGGATTCAAGGTAGGTATTTTACTTTCGCTTTTAACAATTTTTAACTTAAGCATGAACAAAAAAAATAACTTTTTTTAAAAATGATAAAAAGTATTTCATTGATTTAATATTTTTTTTTTAGTGATTACAATGGACCAGATAGATAAAAATTATTTCATTTACAAATTATTAATTTTCTGTTATATAATAGTTACGTTTTAAAATTTTTTTAGCTTGCTAAAGGTTAGACCTAAGTATGTATCTTTATTAATAAATTTTAAACTTTTTTTTCAAAAGGTTTTATATTAAATAAAAATAATAATTTGATAAAGTTTTCATTATAAAACAAAAAAGAAAACTTGGGTTTTACTGTTAAACTGTTGATTTATTTTGTAAGTAAATTTAGTAATTAATTATTGAAATTTGATTTTAAAAAAGTTGTAAGGATTTCTATTTGTTTAATAATATAAAAAAATCTAATTTTAAATTTGGGAGTAATAACATATGACGTCAACAATGGCATAAACAGGAAATTTGGTTATCACCATTACAATGACGAACTGAGATGGTTACATTGCACTTAAAAACCTCTACTTGTATCATTCAAATCTTCAACTTCAATTTAAGTTTTTATTTCTTGTAGGTATTTATTTATTGCTCAAAAGAGTTTTTAACTTTATCCAGAGTTATTTGTTGCTTGGTCTTAAATCACTAATATTGAGTAACAACTTTAAGGTAACCATTGCACATAATGAGTGTTTTTTATAATTTATTACTTTTTTAAATATTAAAATCTTTTCTTACTCAAAAACTTTTTGTTTTTTTGTTTTTATTTTAGATTTAGAGTTGACTCGAAATGGAAAAGAAAGGAAAGACTGTATTTTTGCGTGATGTGCTTGTATATACTTTATCAAAATTGTTAATAACTTTTTTGAAAGTGTTTATTACTTTACTAATTTATTATTTATTTGTGTATTTGCTGTGTAATGTAAATCACGGAAATTTTGATATTTTTTATGTAAATTAAAGAAAATTTGTTTTCAGAAAATATTTTCAAAAACATCCAATCGATTTTATATATACAATATTTGCTAGAAATAGTTTGTTTAAATTTTCATATGAACGGAATATAAACTGCAACATTAATTTTATTACGGAGTTGCTGCAACCATTCCGTTGTTTAACAGGAAAAACTTGTTTAGTTTAAATGGAAGTATTCGTTTATTTACGGAAAAGTTCTGGCCTATTGAAAAAAATCCATTGTGTTATAACGGAAAAAATCTGTTTGTTAACGGAAACTTCTGTTTACATACGATGGGTTTTTCCATAGAATAACGGGTAGTTTGGTCATCAGCAACTGCCGGAACTTTTCCGTAAAAAACGCGCTATTTTTTTAACAGTGTATAGATGAATATCCGTTACCCCAAAGAAGTTTTATAGAATATCCGTTACCCTCCCAGCTTAGTTCATTTGGTCACAGAAAATTTGTGGCTATTGTTCCTTATGATAGGTCAAAGTAAATGTGATTGTCAATGGATGAAAACTCCTCCAGAATATTGGAATTGCAACGATTTCTACTTAAAATTTTAGGAGGCAGTTTTTAATCTTTCAGTTTTTAATGATTGGTCGGAAAGAATTGTTAAATTCATAAAAGGCAAAACTGATATTGCCCAAAAAGAAGAGAAAAGACAGGATTCACTTTTGTTTTTGCACACTTACAAAAGGAAGTATGGAGAAAATCCAAGAAAAACAATAAAAACAATAAAAAAATATAACATAACATTTTAAAAAAATGATGCAATTATAAAGAAATTTGTTAAACGAAATTGCTAGACGTTTTATGCAATATAACTAGATTTTTTTTTGCTTCATGTAATTTAATAAAGTTTCATGCAATATAATAAAGTTTTTATAGACCTTTAATGCTATATATAGATGTTTTATGCAACATAATTAGGTTTTTTTTTCCAAATGACTTAACATATCCATAAAGATATTGCATTGTGTAATATTCGGTAAAAATCTGCATAATTTTGTGTATTTGTAGATAAATTTACACAATTTATTTCAATAAAATAAAATTAACATGCATTTTAAATTTTTTATTCAGAAAAAACTTAGAAAAAACTCTAGAAAAAAATTAATTTTTTTGAGTTTTAGTACTTGCTCAAACGTGCGAAAAATGGGCTTAAAAAAGGGTAAAAAAGCCTAAAATATGACTTTTGAGGCACTTGAGCAACCCCTTAAAGTGGTCAAAATTTAAAATAAAAAAAATTCTACTAATAAAATAAGGGTCAACGCAGCAGATAACACTCATTGGTACTTTAAGTTTTTCCATGACATCAAAATGAAGCAGTCTAATATATATATATATATATATATATATATATATATATATATATATATATATATATATATATATATATATATATATATATATATATATATATATATATATATATATATATATATATATATATATACATATATATATATACTATATATATATATATATATATATATATATATATATATATATATATATATATATATATATATATATATATATATATGTATATACATATATATATACATATATATATATATATATATATATATATATATATATATATATATATATATATATATATATATATATATATATATATATATATATAATAATAATGACAACCAAATAACAACGTATGCATATATACATATCTATGTAAATACATACATATACATACATAAACACAGATATATATTAATGGTTGTCATTGTATTACAATCTACATATTAGACATTCTGAGTTGGAGATCAAACTCAGAACGTCTTGTTTATGAAGCGATCCCTCTACCACTACACCATTACGGCATACATACATTCAAACATATATTCAATAATACATAATAATAATATTTTATAATAGCTAGATTTTCTTCTACTTTATTTTATTTTATTAAGGTTTCTTAACCTTAAAACATTCTTCACTTTTGCACTTTTAAATTAAACTTTTTTGAAAATGTGACTTGTAAAGTTTGTTACATAAAAATCATTCCCAATTCAATTTGTTTAATGAAACATTTTTTAGCATTATTTTTTGGTAAAATTTTTTTTAATTTTTATTTAATTATGATTTTATCGTATATTGTTTTTATCCGGTTTTTTTTTTTTTTTCCCTATCTTTTGTTATTTTTTTTCTATCTTTTTGTTGTTGTTCTGTTGTTTGTTCTGTTGTTGTTCTGTTGTTTTGTTGATGTTCTGTTGTTTGTTTGTTTCTGGCTTTTGTTGTTGTTTTTCTGGCTTTTTATCGTAAAAAAACATTAATTATTAATTAATGGGGTAATTAATTAAAACATAATTAACAATTACTGCATACTGTATTACATAATTAGGTACATTTTTAAGTAGAGTTCCTGCTGTAATTGCTGTAATTATATATGTAAATGATGTAATTAATTTTACATTAATTGTAATTAAGAGTTTGTAAAATTAGTTCTAAAATATAAAATAAAATAGCATTAATCTTCATAACACAAAAATATTTTTTTTACAAACTTTTAATAATTTTTCCATTACTTTAATTCATATAATCATTTCAAAATTAAATAACTTAACCAAAGCCATTATTGTAATCCTCAATTTTAGAATTTTACAAATGAAAATTTTTGTGAAGAATTTATTGTAGATTACTTTGTTCATTTTATGGCTTTTCTTTCATAAACAGAAAAGTTGTTATATGAAAAGTCTAACAGATACAGTAATTAAAAAAAATTACAAACAACTGACCAACACAACTGCTGTTTTCCAATATCCACCCAGACTTGCAAGTACAATTGTAACTTCCATTAGTGTTCTCACAATCACTGTTAGTCAAGTTGCAGTACTTAGCTAACTCATTGCATTCATTGACATCTGAAAACAAATGTAAAGTAATATTCAAAAAAACTTTCTTTTGAGAATGTCCTTTAAAATAACATAAACATATATATCTATATCTATATATATATATATATATCTATATATATATATATATATATATATATATATATATATATCTATATATATATATATATATATATATATATATATATATATATATATATATATATATATATATATATATATATATATAACAAAAAAAACTAATTGCCTGAAAATATGGACTTATGACTAAAATTTTAAAGAGAAAACAAAAAATAAAAAATATACAAACAACTGACCAACACAACTGTTGTTTTCCAATATCCACCCAGACTTGCAAGTACAATTGTAACTTCCATTAGTGTTCTCACAATCACTGTTATTCAAGTTGCAATATTTAGCCAACTCATTGCATTCATTGATATCTGAAAGCAATTATAAAGTAATATTCAAAAAAACTTATTTTAGAGAATTTCATAAGAGACAACATATATATGGATAGAACAAAAAAATTAACTACCAGATTATGTGGTACGAGTGATTGTCCATAAAAACAAAAAAAAGAAAACAAATTATAAAAACATTACAAACAACTGACCAACACAACTATTGTTTTCCAACATCCATCCAGTCTTGCAAGTACAATTGTAACTTCCGTTAATATTCATACAATCACTGTTAGTCAAGTTGCAATATTTAGCCAACTCATTGCATTCATTGACATCTGAAAACATTTATAAAGTAATATTCAAAAAAACTTATTTTTGAGAAAGTCATTTAACAAAAAATTCATATTGATATTTTTAAGTAACGTTATGTCTAAAATCGGTTGTCATTGGTAACAAGGCTACACTTTATTACATTGATATTTATGCCCTATTTAATTTACAATATAAAAAAATTTCATCTTAGTTGGTTATTTTGTTAGGCAAAATAAAAAAGTGACAAATAACATTTTAGTTAACTTTTATAATACTTTTTCGAAGACCTTTTTTTTTTTTTTCTGGAAATCTTAGTTAATGTATGTAAGCACTCTATGTATTATTATTTCTATAGAATTCTGAAAATTTCAGCTTGATTGACCAAACCGTTTAATAGTTATAATTGAATTAATATTAACCAGAATTAGAAAAACTTGAGTATCTGGAGCTTAAAGTAGATCTTTTCGATTTTTAACAGGTCATAATTTTTTAAATAAAATAGATTATCACCTGAATTTTTCAAGGGTAATAGTTTTTCACCCAAATTATCTATTTTTGTAGGTGTTTTTGACTGATTTTAAACAGGTTTTGAGTTCTTATACCTCGAAGTTGCTAAATAACGCAAGAATAGAAAAAATTTTGGAAACTTCAATGTGTTACAGTTCAATACCAACAGACAAGCTGTGCCAATGTTTTGTTACTTTTGTGTACTTAGAGTAATCACTTAACCACTTAAGGTAAAAATTAAAATTATGTGTTAAAAGTTATTTTAGAACTTGCAGCAGCCTGTTAAAAAATCACTTTTTAAAAAAAATAGGATAAATTACATTCACTTTGTAGGCATAAAAAGGCAGTGAAAATAAATGATGAAACTTTTTACTGGCAAGGTTCTATATATAGACAATCACCAAAAAAAAATTAAAGACCTATACTCTATCTTATAATATGATTTTAGTATTTTGAGTACAATGCTTTTTTAGTTTAAAAGAATACCTAATAGCGCAAGTTATATTATACTTCAAAAAAATAAAAAATACTGAAAGAAGAGGAGTATATACACATGAAACACAAGTAGACTAATTTCTTTATCTCTGATTTACATAACTCATAATACTTTCATAATCATTCTTAGCAAGTGTGTAGTGACAAGCACTTCTATCCTTAATGGATGGAGCACTTACTTGACATATTACTTTGTGAAATGGAACCCAACACTGACTTGATTGTGGATCATAAGTCCATTTTAAATTTAATTAGGTTTTTATGTATGAATTTCACATTAACATCTTCATTAACAAATCTCAAGCACAAGCCTTATGTACCATTCATCATTGTAAAAACATGTAATGTATTTACCAGGTTGAAAGTTTGAAGGATCTTTTTTTGCCAAGTTAATATTATTCAGCAAATGGGTATATCTAGTGATACTATCATGGACAGTATTGCTAGATATTCTTCGTAAAAATAATTTCTCTCCACCTGGTACAAAAACGCTTCTTGTGCCTGGGACTGTGCTCATCTTTTCATATCTTTTTTTTGGGTTAAATTAAGTTTCATGATTATTGATATTATCACTTGAAATGTAAAATAATTTAACACCTTTAATGTTTTTTTCAGCCCATGTAAACAGTTCATGTTTTTCAGCCCATGTAAACAGTTCAGTTCAGCCCATGTAAACAGTTCATCTGGTTTGCATTTGCTGCTTGTAGACTCCTTTTTGCTGCTTCTCTTTTTATAGTTTCTCCAATTCCATCACAGACTTTTGTCATGTGATGTCACAAAAAAGTCGTGCTCAGCATTTATATTGTGATCTTCAAAATGGTACATGTGTTGATCTAATGTTCTTTTTGCCTCTAATTAGTAGGAGGATTGTGCTTCTATGATAAAGTGGTGGCAACAAAGATCATACAAAGTTTCACTTAGAGTTATAATAAACTCAGTAATATTTATTTGTACTGTGACAAGAGCAGTTTGGTCAGTTGACACCCATTGTTTGTATATGATATGATCATCAAAACCATTATTTTCAAACACATTATCAAAGTCTTTAAATTTACTTTACCAGGTCAGTTGGAACATAGACGAAACATGCAGCTTCAACTTTCTATATTACAAACATATTTTTCATCAAATCTTTGTAATATATTAAATGGCCCTAAAGCAGGGCAGCTCAACTTAGTATTTTAATGATAAAAACATTCACAAACTGAGTGACTTCCACTACTGTCAACTGAAATGTACAACTTTGGCCTTAGTTCACAGAACTTGCTGAATCTGTTTTTGTGTTTAGGGTATAACTTCTTAAACTCAAGATAAAATTCCTTTAACTGAACTATAATTAAACGTTTTTGTTTATGACCTTTTGCATTACTTATATGCACAGAAAAGTCTTTTTTTGTCATATAAACTCTTCGGATTCATAAATTTCAATGACTTTTTGTTTAACAATATCTTCCAAAGACTGTTATTTCTGTAAATTACTTTAGCCTCAGGTTTAGCAAGCATTCATTTTTAAACTTTCGAGCTTTTTTAACAAGATGTTCTGAAAATGTTTTTCAAGATTTTTTAATTGACCAAATATCAGAAGTTAGTGTTAAAAGTTGAACTTTTTCTTCCTTCAAACTTAATTTCATTTTACTTTTTATTGCATCGAACAGTTGGTCTATATCATTGCAATTTATACATTTTTTCTCTTTTTCGAATACTATATCTTGGATCTATATCCAATTATATTATATGCATAAAATTTAACGAATACATATAGTATACAAACCCTATATTTAAAAAAAAAATGTTATATTTATTTGTTTATAAAATATACCACAAATTAGCACCAAGGGTGTGGAGTTGTAAAAAAAAAGTACTGACTCCAACTCCAATTGTTGATATTTTCAGAGTACGACTTTGACTCTGACTTTAACTCCAACTCCAAAGCAAAATATTTGAAATATTTTTTGAGCTCTTTTTAAAATATTATGCGGTAATTAAAAATTTATTTTTTGCTAAATATATAAAAAAAATTTTGAACATTTTGTAAATATACATGCAATACCGAGAAGTTTTACTATCAGAGTCACAATTTTGTTTAGCAACTCTGACTCAGCTAAAAATGTAGCGACTCTACATTTCAATATATAACATTGTTATAGGCAAATTGAAATGATAATGAAAAGTTTTACAAGATGTTATTAATTCATTTCATAATAAAAAACAAAAAGTGTTTCATAAGAGATGAACAACTATGGAAATAAATTAGTTATCTTCAACCCTCGGAATTAGGAAAAATGAGGTCAGCAAATTATTGCCTCAATCTTTTTAAGGTCGGCACCAGGTCAGCAAAAACTACATGATACAAAGGTCTGACCACAAACATAGAAACAATTTTTGCCGACCTTAAACACTTTCAGGTCGGCAGTTAGGTCCGCATTTCAGAATGCCAACCCTAATTTCGAGGGTTGTATCTTGAAACTAATTTATGTTACGTAACTTACATCATCATGCAATTATTTAGGAGGATTTTCTACGAAATAAGCTCAAATCTTTACAATAAAAAATACCATTAGCTGAAACTTACAGAAAACGAATTTATTGCTTGTGGCAGTTGAAAAAGGAAAACTGTTAAGATGACTTTGATTTAAATGCCATGCGTTTCTCTTATTTGTGGCATACACAGTAGTTTTAGTCAATTTAAAAAATCATATTAAGAGCAAATGATCTTATTCAAATATGCAAATCTTATTCAAAACCTTTAATTAAAAACATAAGACTTAAAATCAACATAAATATATTATTAAAAATTTCAGTATCATGACATAATAATTGGAAAAAAGTTTTACTTTATTGTGTATTTTTCAATTTAAGTTATATATTAATTGCAAAAGTTCTTGTGGGTTTCTTGAAATTTTCTTAATAAAAAAAGTGAAATATGTGACCAACAATTAAATTAAATAAATCAGTAAGATTAAAATAAAGTTTCATGAAATAAAAATTTTTGGTGAAAATAACATTTTTAAAATAATGCATTTTTTAACATTGAAAAGTATGATGACTTTCAGAACCATTAAAACAACATAAATAAAGTAACTTTATTAAAAACATTTTTTAATAAACTATAAAACTCGTCTTATAAAGATTAACAAAATGAGGTTGCAAATTGGCTACATTTTCCGCTGCTAAACAGGCTATATATATATATATATATATATATATATATATATATATATATATATATATATATATATATATATATATATATATATATATATATATATATATATATATATATATATATATATATATATATATATATATATATATATACATATAAATAAATATACATATATATATATACATATATATATACATATATATATATATATATATATATATATATATATATATATATATATATATATATATATATATATATATATATATATATATCTATATATATATATATATATATATATATATATATATATATATATATATATATATATATATATATATATATATATATATATATATATATATATATACATATATATAAATATACATATATATATATATATATACATATATATATTTACATATATATATATATATATATATATATATATATATATATATATATATATATATATATATATATATATATATATGTATATATGTGTATATATATATATATATATATATATATATATATATATATATATATATATGTATATATATATGTATATATATATGTATATATATATATATATATATATATATATATATATATTTATATATACTAAATTTACTACATCTACTAAATTTAAATTTTTTAGAAACACGTCGAATCAGGCAAGATCTAACACAAGTGTATATAATTGTTAACAAGATAGACATTATCGCATAAAGTGAACTCCATATTCTTGTGTTGGGCTTGCAAAACCAATGAAAACTAAAGAAAACCTTATTTTGAAAAAAATTATTTTAAAAAATAAAAAAATATCAGTAAATACTAATTACTAGAAATAAATATATACTTTATCTATTTTGAGATTATTATTATTTTTTTCTTTAACAATTTATTTATTTTTGTCAGCAACCATTTACAACTCAATGTGATTTCTGTCATATAAAATATTTAAAAATATTAAATACATTTCATCAGACCGAAAAACCTGAAAAAAAAAATCTTATCAGTAACCTTTATTGAATAAAAAGAGGATAAAAATGTATTGTTAGTATAAAATAAAGAATTTTGATTGTCAAAATGTTCAATTATGTTTTTTTTTTTTAATTTTTTAGTGGTATTGGCTACTCTAAGTTTACGATTCAGGCTTGTAAAATATTTCCATATCATTGGGCCACAATAAGAAATGAAGGGAATACAATAATTGTTCAAAAAATAATTTCTTTAGCATTAAGAATAATTATATTTATTCTAAATTTTACAAATCAATATTTATTACATAATTGTAATTAAATAAGTAATTATTTACTTAGAAGATTAAAAATTTTTGATACATTTTTTTAAAATTTTGTCTTAATTTATATTAAAATGTTTAAGGATGATGATGTATAAACTAATTGATTAATTACTTTGAGCACAAAAAAAAAATTGAATTTCATTATTATAATTAACCAATAGTAACAACTTTTTTTATATTTTATGCAAGTAATCTACAGTGCTTGAACTAGACTGAGCAATCAAAGCCTTCAAAGAAGCATAAAATATTTCTATTAAAAAAACAACATGACACAATACAAGATGAATAGTATAAGATAAATAAAAAATCTTATTGCTTTTGTGTAAACATAATTTATGTAGTGGTGGTAAAAACTTTTTCTTCAGAATCGCTTTTTATCTTTTTATTTTGTTATTAAATGTTACAAATTTGTTCTTCTTGGCATTTCTCAGCGTATAGCTTCAAAAAAGTTCAAATGTTCTCAGTCACTTATTTCTAAGACATTGAAAACCAAAACATCAATGAAAAAAAGAAAACAAATGAAGATTCCAAGTCGAACTGAGAGCCAGAGAGCAAAAAACTGACGTTTGTATGGTCAACTTTATAAAAATTATAAAGATTTTATTTGGGTTCTTGATGACGAGCCTTATTTTACTCTCTCGAACAGCCAAATTAATGGTAATGATAATTTCTATTCAAGTAACATTGAATTAACACCAAACAATGTTAAATTCAAAGAAAAAAAGAAATTTGAAGAAAAATTTTTGGTTTACATGGTCATTTCGCCTTTTGGCCTATCAACTCCATAAATTGTACAGTCTGGAACTGCTATTAACCAGCATATTTATGTTGATGAATGTTTGACTAAAAAACTATTACCACACATCAAACAGTTTCCAAAAAATACCAAGTTGGATTATGAACAGAGTTTAATAGTTGCGAGGTCTTTGTTAATTTTATAATTTGTATAGTTGTTGTTTTTGCATAATTCCCTTGCTGTTAGTAAAACTTTATTGCTGCTTTAAGGAAGTACAGCAATAATGGGTGGAGGAGTTTTTGAATCTTTTAAAGCTTGATCATTAAACCCAGTATTAATCACAGACATACTTTTCCAGCATATTTATTACTTCATCAGATGATGATCTGAAAAGTAAACATATTTTACTAAAATATTTTTTAGCTCATCAGATCAATTTGATATTGAAATGAACATATGGGGGAATTTATAAAATTTGCTTATGAGCAATCTTTCAGATCTATTAAAAGCTTGCAATAAAATGCTGTTTACGGCAGATCTATAAGAAAACAACTATTATCCATGCAAACATCAAGAAGAAAGAGAATGAGTGCAAGCAGAATCTGACAATGATCATACTGAAAAAATTGCCTTAACACAAAGTAAGGAAGACACATCAGCTTTTAAAAATTAAATAAATGCTGCGGGAGTTTAATACTTAATCAGAAACACTTTTAATCTTGTTAATTAGGCATAAGCTATGTATCATGGTCCAAATCATGCAAGCAGAATTTTTGTTTAAAATGTAACTAAATATAAAACATCAGTGCCAAAAGCAAATACAGGGAAAAAGAAAACTATAAAAATTGTTAATTAACTTTAAAAAAATATTTTTATTTACAGATAAAAAAAAATGATCATAAAATTCATCAAAAAAAAGAGAATTTTCACAACTTTAAAGACAACATTAAAGCAAGTACTTAAGGTCCTGTCCACCCCTAAACAACATTTGAGCAGAGTAAATTTTTGAAAAAACATTCTGTGCTATCTTAAAATAAATCGAAATTTATTAATAAAACTAATAATTTTAAACAGGTGAATATATAAATAAATAAATGTGTGATCTTTTTTTTTTAAACATTGATACAACTTTATCATTATTTATTTTACCGTATACCCTAACGTTAATAATAATTTAATTATCTGATATAATGAGCCTGGTGACTAACTATAAAACAAAATGCTAAAAATAAAATGGTTGAATAAAATTTTAAACATTAAAAAACTGACCAACACAGCTGTTGTTGTTTAATCTCCACCCAGGCTTGCAAGTGCAATAGTAACTTCCATTGGTGTTCACACAATCACTGTTTGCCCAGTTACAGTAATCAGTCAAGTTTGCGCATTCATCAATATCTGAAAACAATTGTAAAGTAACATGAAATAACTTTAATTTGAATATGACAATTATAAAAGCCACATAAATTATTGGAACAGCATGTTACAATAATTTATGTGGCTTTTATAAACTATATAAACTTTTATAAAAAACTTTTATAAAACTTTTATAAAAAGTTTATAAACTGATTACCCTTACATGTTCATGTAAGGGTAATCAGTTTATAAACTTTTTTATTACTGCTTTGAATTAAGTTTATTTACAGATTTTAAAATTTATTGCTTGCAATACGCATAAATACAAAACATAAATTTCAAACAAAATTTAAAAATTGTTAGATGGACAGCAAAAGATACATAAACATATACAATATTTAAAAATGTTTTTTTTTAATATTTGTAAATTAATTTTTACAAATATTTAAAAATATTATTTCTAAATAATACCTACTAAATTATTCTGTTTTTAAAATAACTCACATTAAAGCAGATTATGTAACCTAACAAAAGATTAAGATCAAAATATTTTTATAAAGTTTAATTTATAGACCTAAGATTCTAATTTATAGACCTAAGTGGTTCGGAAATTTTGTAAATTCTATTGTGTAACTTTTTAAATTCTATTGTGTAATTTTAGTTCTATTTGACACAAAAAATAACATTATATTTTGCTTATAATATTAGGATTTATTGTGTTAGAAGTTTAGTGAATAAACTTTTAATGTAGTAGTGGTGGTAAACATTTGAAATGAAAGAACATCAAAAAACTTTTTGTAATAGTGATAACAAAACTAGTAAGAATAAATCAAATAAGAATAAACCAAAGTCAAAAATAAATTTGGAATTTATTACTTGCCCAGTTGTTAAAAAATTGCTACAGTGCTTTTAAGAGATACAATATTAGCCTTCCATTTACTTTTAAACACTTTGAAAAAAAACATCACATTGGAATGATTCAGGATTAGCAACAACAAAAAACTTATTAGGTGTTAACAACAAAAAATATAAATAGAAATATTTTTATGGTTGACTTTTGCAAGTAAATGTAATAAGAAATAATAAAAAAAATAAAATAATAATAAAAAAAATCGCAAAAAAAGTCATGATTAGCAATCACAACACGCTTAATTCGAGCACTGTAAGGACTCTAGCATGACAACTAATATTCCATAGTTTAAAACCTGTACATTTTTAAATATAGATATACTTCTGAACATGAATGATTGCATGATGATGGCATATATAAAGTTTGCTTATGAGCAACATTTATTGAGTTAAATCCTTCAGATCTATCAAAAGCTTTCAATAAAATGCTGGTCACAGCAGATCTATAAGAAAACAACTATTCTCTATACAAACTTCAAGACTTTTAGGTGACATAACTCCTTCCAAAAAAAATCAAAAAGCTATAAACATAAACGGAAGGATATGAGTGCAAGCGCAATCTGAAAATGATCATGCAGAAAAAATTGCCTAACACAGAGTTAGGCAGACACACAGGCTTAACAAATTAAATAATTGCTGTGAAAGTTTAATATTTAATCAGAAACACCTTTAATGTTGTTAATTAAGCATAAGTTATGTGTCATCGTTAAAAACATGCAAGAAGAGTTCATGTTTAAATGTAAGCAAATATAAAACATCCGTGCCAAAAGACAAGACAAAAGTAAAATCTAAAATATATAAATTGATTTTTAAAAAATATATTTATTTACAGATATAAAAAGGTAGTTCATAAAAAAAAGAGAATTTTTGTTTGTATAAATTTATCATAGTCCATTATTTGTTTATTAGTATAAAAAAAAAATTTGTTACCAAAAAAAATATCATGCAATTAAAAACAAATTTAAAATTTATATAAAAAAGTTTCTTCTGCACATATTTGTTTTTATTGAAAGAACACTGCATAGGACAACTTTAAACAATTTTAATCAATAACTGCAAAAACATATTGTTTGAACAAGAATTGCTGTGAAAAATAAAATTATTGCAAAAGCTATAAAAAAACCCAGCTATTTTGTTTGGATTAACCTCTCTGCCCATAGCTACCGAGTTATTGTATATTATAAATGAGTTTTTCACTTAATAATCCCAGAAATTTTTTTTCTATGAAAATCCAAGAAAATTATTTTAATAAAAAATCTGGAAAATCATGGAAAATTATACGGTCAACAAATTGACAAAGGTATGTGGGTAAGTTCTGGAACATTGGTAAAGGGGGTAAAGTAAAAAAAAACTAAAAAAATAACTAAAACTACTGAATAATTATGGTTTGTTAAGAGATTCGTTAAGAGAAAACATTTTTATTTCCATACCATAAACAAGATCAACATGAAAAGCTTTACCAAACCCTTCTCGCAGCTTATACAAAGCAGTTGTTCTAAATATTTTCAAATTATTTAAAATACAATGATCTTTAGACATTCCCTTTGCGTACTCAATCAAATGGGATGTTAAAGATATTGGAAGATTGTGTTAACAAATAAATGCAAGTATCATAGCTTCTGCATTTGATGTCCGGTCTCTAAAATTTACAATAGGTTTAATGGTAGACTTCACTCTATTGTACAATTACTACCAGTATTCAGGTTATTCAGAGTGCCATATGGCAATATACATGTACCTGTTTTTTTTAAATCAGTAAAAAATGACAACATTATAGCTTGGTTTGACTTAATCATTGCGTAGTTTTGACAATGTATTTTAGACTTTGAGTGGCTAAGTAAAGATTTTTTATCTTTACATCCATTACAAAAATCTTTACTACATATTGTATATTGTACCTAAAACATTAAATCAAATAATATATAATTATTATGAAATTACATACTTAAATTTTTAGTTAGGGAATAAACTTACCACTCCAGCTTTATCTATCTTTCTTATATAGACTAATAAAAAATCTTCAATATTATCCTTCTCTTGAAGCCAATTTCAGTGGAAATTGTTTTTAACATTTTTGTCAGAAATGTCAGATTAACTTTTATTTTATAATTTTTTTTTCTTGATTGTATCAATTGACAAAAAACTTTTTTGTAAACTTTTAAAACGAAATTTTTTATACGAAAATTGGTCTTGATGAAAATTTCAATTATAGAAAACATATTTGTTTAAATGCAAAAGTTGTTGTAGTTAAAATTTTATATAATTTTTTTAAAACTATGAACAAAAAATATCTGGAAACTTCAAAAAAATTATAGAAGTTTTAAGTGAATATCCAGAATTCTGGAAAAAAATTCATGTATGGTATATTTACACACACACGCACACAGCAAAAATTTGATCTTGATTATCAGGTTATTAGGAACGTAAAAATCTAGTAACTTTTTGGGATTAAATCAATTTGTTTAACTTTACAAAATATTTTTCAATTATACTGTGGGAAAAAACAACATAAAAATAAGAAATAACTTGTTTTAAGAATTATCCTAAAATAAAATCAAGCATGGATAATGCAACCTAACTTTTTTTTACATGTCTTATTTTGCAGAGCCAGATCTTGATTATAAAACCTTATAATATAAGATATTTGTATACAAACAAAGATTAAACTTTCTACAGCATACAAGGCATGATCAAAATGTTCATTATAAAGAAATGTAAAATTGCAATTAATTTTTATAACTTTGATAATTTGTCATACAACTTTTTTTTTTTAAAAAAGTTATACGACAAATTATTTAAAAGTTTCATTTGCAGTATAAAAACAGTTTCCATTTTTAGGGATTTGATTTTCAAATACTATGTTGGTAATTGAGTCAATGGTAACTGCAGCAGATAAATCAAAAAGTGGGAGACAATTACTGTCTCCAACAATTTGATTTTAATTTCAATAGAACAATTTTGAAGAATTGTTCTATCGAAAGGAGAACTAAGACATTTTGATATGTTAATTTAAATTGCATAGCTGTTGGTCTGCCATTTCAGCCTCCTTTGCTTTTGTATTAATGCAAAAAATATTTCTAAACAGTCTTGATTAAATTGTGAAAACATAAAAAAAATCCTACCAGACCAGAAAAATACCATCACTTATTTCCAACTCTTAAATCTTCAAGCTGTTGTATAAAACTACTATTTTAAATTAAACCATGTTGGTTTATCTGCTTTAGGTTTACTAGAGTTCAAAATGTTAAATAAAATATTCATAATTTTAAGAAAAAGCACTGTTGACAAAACATTTTCAGACAATAGTTTTGCAGAAGCATGTTCAGTCAAATCAGCAGCAACTTGACTAATAAAAAACTTGTGTTGTTAGATTTACTTGTATTTTGGCACAAGTTGGACAGCATTAACCTTTTTCAAATTATAAAGTTCTTGCAGATGCTTCTGCAATACCATTATACCATCAGATAAAATGTCATGTTTTATTCAATTGTTTCTAACATTTTTTTATAAGATGTGGTGGATCAAATATATGTACTTTTGCTCCTGTAGTTGAATGTGAAATTTGTTGATTTAATTCTAGAAATTTGAGAGCTCTAATACTACTGAAGCTTTGATCACAAACAAGATATCTTACAACTAAACCTTTTATAAGTAGGTAAAACATAGCATTATTTACTATCTTAGCTAAATTGGTTGAACACATGATTTGATAGCAATTAGTTTTTTCTAATTTGTTCATAACCCTCACATCCATTAATACAAAAACCTGGTTTACTGGTTCGCCATTAGATTGAATTCATACAAATTTTTTATACAAATTGACTTTCAAAAAATTAAAGTTGGATGTTAGTTGATTATTTTTTTTTTTTAAATAAATAATATCTAATATATTAATAATAATCTACAGAACCATCACACTTTTTAACATCTTTTAGCTTCTTGATTTTTTTTTTAATAAAGTCAACAAATTTTAATTTTGAAGAAGTTCTTCACATGATTATGTATTAAGATCTTGACAACAATTTCAAACCTAAAGTTTGAATCTAATAAATAGTTATAAAATAGGTTGCAATGTGAGCTTACATACTAAGCAATGTGAGTTTATTGTCTCACACTTGTCTCGCATATGAGCTTGTCTCACACTAAGTAGCCTATTCATGGATAAGCCTCAGTATCAACTACGCTGGAGGTTGTCCAGCCGATTCTTAAATGCATTGCAACAACTGTTTCTGCATTCACAGTATCGTTGAATAATACCAAGTTCCAATAGTTCACGATTCTGTAAGTTTTAATTCTTTGTTAAACTGTCCTCTACAAACAGCTATTGCCTCTCTTGTGATTGTTGCTACACAACATTTCACTTTGTCGATTTCTTTTATGATTTTAAATTTTTAAATGAGGTTACCTTTTTGTCAGCGCATTTTATATTAAAAAGGATTGATTAACCAATTTTCATAGCTATGCTGTATCATTTAGTGTCCAATCTTGGTGGCTCGTCACCAACTTTTTCAAGCATTTTTGGCCCTTTTTGTTGATTATGACCAAGTACATATTGCATATATCAAATGTGGTCTGACATATGTTGTATAGACTTTCTTCCATAGTGTTGGCTTTTGCAATGTAAAAGTGTTTTTCAATAGACCCAGAATTTTATTTGCAGTCAATGCAGCTTTATTTTTGGTCTAAGATAATAGGTTAAACCTAAATAATTTAGTCGAATTACTTGCATTATATTATGTATAAAATATTTTATTTTTTATAACATTCAAAGTAAAACAGTGTTTTAAAAGCTTCTTTAAACTCTTGATAAACTAATTATTTAATAAATTTTAATACTTAACTTTATCCATTGGAAATCTAAAAAAATATATTTTTTCTAACATTCTTTCTGCGCTTGTTTACAGGACTGATGACTGAACAAAAGGCTGGCATATTTAATTATATGAGTGTTTAAAGAAAAAGTAACTTTGTTCTTAAAAAGCAAATTCCAATAATAATTTAATATATAAAATATTTAGAAGACAACAAGGCAATAATATTATACAATAATATTAAACATATAACAAAAGGCAATAATATAATAATAATAAAATTATGTTGTTTTTAATATAGACTTTCAACCATCCCACAATCCAATGTATGACTAATTACACATAAATAAAAATTTTTTTAGTTGGCAGGCATTGATAACCACCAAATCTAAAGTGTACTTTCAGTAAATCTGTAATTATAAGGGCAACTTGTACTCATTCCCCATACAAAAACATAACAAGGTATTTATGACACTTTAAAGCATGTAACTAAACAAAAGGTCCTGATCATCTCTAGATATCATTTGAGTGGAGTAAATTTTTGAAAAAACATTCTGTGCTATTTTAAAATAAATTGAAATTTATTATTAAAACTAAAATTAAATTAAAAAACAAATGTTAACTTTAGGGTATGCAATAAATAAATTTTATAAAATAAATTTTTTGTAATAGTGATAACAAAACCCCTAAGAATAAATTGAAGTCAAAAATCAATTTAGAATTTAAGCTGTTATAACATTCTTAGAGGGTTTTTTAGAGATATAAATTTTATCCATTCTGTGCTATCTTAAATTAAATCAAAGTTTTATAATAAAACTAAAACTTAACCAAAAAATTAATTGTCAAAATCAAAATAATATTGAATTAAAACAAGTTTAAATAAAAATGAATGTGTAATTTTTTTTTTATAAACATTGATACAAGTTTATCGTTTTTTATTTTACTGTAAACCCTAAAGTTTAAACTATGGGGTCTACTATAAATTATGACACGCTTTTGGAGGACGGGGAGGGTTAGTGGTTTAGTGAAAACTCAAATGGAACTTGCTATTAAAGAGTTACAATGTTGTGATGAGGGGGGGGGGAAGTTTAAAACTGTCAAAATTGTGTTGTGTAATTTGTGAACAACCTCGATAGAAATTTTATATATAAAAATCTAACTTAGTGGGCCAAGTGACTAACCATAAAACAATAAGCTAAAAATAATATACTAAAACAAAATTTAAAAACATTACAAAAAACTGACCAACACAGCTGTTATTTTTTAACCTCCACCCAGACTTGCAAGTAAAAGAAAAAGTTTGATTGTTATTCAAACAATCACTGTTTTCATGGTTACAGTACATAGAATAATATGCTAAAAATACAGAACATAAAATAACATGCTAAAAATACAGAACATAAAATAATATGCTAAAAATCATATGTTAAAACAAAATTTAAAAACATTATAAAAAACTGACCAACACACTTGCAAGTAAAATAGTATCCATTAGTGTTCACACAATCACTGTTTTCCCAGTCACAGTAATTAATCAAGTTTGCGCATTCATCAATATCTGAAAACAATTGTAAAGTAACATATGAAATAACTTTCATTTGACAATTATAGAAGCAATATAAAAAAGTAAAACAGCATGTTACAATATCAATCATTTAAACTTAGAAAAAGATCTAAATTTGTGCATGTTAATATGTTATACAAATGATGATCAAAACCTAAAAAAAATACTTGACGATTTAAAGATTTAGCCCTTTCATGTGTGAGCAACCATTTTATAAATTTTTTTATTACTGCTTTTAACTAAGTTTATCTTCAGATTTTAAAACTTAAAGCTTGAAATAACCATGAACACAAAATATAAACTTCTATTAAAATTAAAAAACATTATAAGGTGGACAGCAGGGTTGCATAAAGTACAAAAAGGTTTACTTATTACACCACTTAAAAAATGTTATCATTTTTTCATTATATCTATTTAACTATTCTGTTTTCAAAATAACTTACAGTAAATTACTTAATCTAATAATTGCATGTTTAAAAATATCAATTTTTATATTATAAAATAATTTCTGATTACTTATCTATTTTAAATAGTTATATAGAAAAACTTTATTTAAAATTAAAGATTGTATTATCATAAAAGATTAATTTTAAAATTTTACCAATTTTACTTGCACCTTCAAAAGATTTTAGTCAAATTACTGTTTATAAAATTTTACACAAGGTTCTAGATCTAATGTTTGTATACAATTTAGCATATGGTATATGGTTGCGATAAAAAACGCCACAAAGTTTATTGATGAAGTATGAATTTCGTGTGAAAGTAAAAGAAAAGTAAAAGAAGGTTTGGGAATTTGAAGCCACAGACAGCGGCCTAGCAATAATTGTCATACTGTCAAAAGAAAACCAGGAACAATTATTGAACAAACTTTATAAATACCAATATTCATTAAGGTTGAACATCTTGCCTGGATGCTTTAGAGTATAATATACACATGTAAAGGTTTGTAACTTTGTTCTTTGAAAAATGTTATTTTTGATGTATTTAGATTTTCAGCACAACATTATATATGTGAATTTGTTCCCTCGATCCGGAAAATAGTTCGCAAAAGTGTTTTAATAAAGAGCTACCTGTACAATTTTAACTATAGATATACTTCTAAACATGAAACTTTAAAACATGATGTTATAAATGTTGATGTTAAAGTAGTTTTTTCTCTGTACTCGTTTACCACAAATACAAATGCACAACAACAATTTTTATGTACTTAAGATAACTTTTAAGCAAAGTTATCAAACTTTGCCTAGATTATGGTTTTACTTTATGATTTCTATATATCTTACTTTATGGTTTTACTTTATGATTTCTATACTTATTGATTACTTTATGATTTCTATACTTCTATATCTTACTTTATGGTTTCTACTTTATGGTTAGTATGTGTATACTGGTTTCGAATTTCTTGTTTTTAAAAAAATATAAAAAGTAAATTACTTTATATTTGGATGTTTTGATTTTATGTTTTAATGTAGAAAATATCTAAAAATAATCATATTTGAGCATTAAAAAGTGTAATAAATCAAAAATAATGTCTGCCTAAATCTTTAATCAATGTTTATACTTAGGCATCTGCAGATTTTATTTAATTAGGCCACCTTTAGTTATGTTTTCGTGTAGTCTACCTCTACTAACATTTTCGTGTAATTTACTTAAAAAAAAAAGTTTGTTTATATTAATATCTTTTATATCTAGATATCTTCATTAACCCAAACCCTCATTTGATGCGTATACACTGTCTATTGGCTATTATGATAAAATGGAAGTACAGCACTACCATTGACATTTCTAAGACTCAATTGTTAATGTTACAACAATAAACAAAGATAAACACAATGAAATTAAAATGCAATATTATAATGAAACAAACAAACAAAAACCTAATATGAGGAATGTAACTGTCTATCTAAACCAAAAACCTCAGTTAATATATCTACTGATAACTTATCTTGTCTTTAGGAAAGTATAACTAATTAAAGCACTAATATCATGACAGTATCTATGTATTGAAAAAAAGGAAATAAATTAAGAAACAAAAATTTATATACCTGCAGGTATAATAATAATTGGTTGCAGGCCATTTTCTAAAAAAGTTGAACAGTAAACAAACTTATAAAAAACATATAGAAAATAACATAGCATCAAATAAAAAAAGTTTGAAAACTATAAATAAACAACTAAAAACATACTTGAAATACCATTGATAATAAATAAATTTCTTATTAAACCATCTTGAGCATCATGCCAAGGATCAGATGCATATACTAATACATTATCAAAACTTTGAGCTTTATTATTAGTTTCAGAATGGACAACTTTTTCATTTAATATAATTGTGTATACATAATCTGAGTTTTTCAAAATTTGACTAATTTTAACATTAGACCAATGATTTAATTGAATTGGATCTGTGGTGAAACCTTTATCAACATTTCCATTAATTGGTGCTGAAATATAAAGACCACCTTTTCCATCATCATGAAACCAGATACCTGGAACACGATCACCATATCGACCCCAATTAGAACCAATAGTGAAATGAATAACACTATGAAAATCAGCAACAAACTTATTTGGATAGACATCAAATGAAACCAAAAATTCTTTATCTAGCTTTGGTATCAGGCCAATAAGATTTCTTTTTACTAACAAAATGTCGGAATAACAAAGAAGACTTTCTAAAATACAAAAGAAAAAAATTAAATGAAAGATGTAAATTTAAATCCAAATATCAGTTAAGTAACTAATATTGATTTAACAAATTATTTACTACATAAAAATGGTAACTATATTCCTTTCTGAGGCATAGTTTAGATATATTGAACACTAGACATAATGAAAAATTTTTCTTTAATTTCTTTCCTTTTATATTAGTAAAATAATTAGTATAGATGACTTTCTTTTTACTTAAAAAAATATTTTTCTTATGAATGATTGAAGTTATTATTATTATTTTAATAAAAATATTTAGTATATTATTTTCATAATAAAATTAAAGTATATAATAACTGCTGTATTTAATTAAAAACATTTTTTCATTTAACTGTAATTATTATTCACTTTTTTTTATTTAAATCTTTTTATTTTCCCATATGTATTTGCAGCAAATGTAATTAATGAATGACTTATAGATGAATTTAATTTGTTTATAATAGGATTCTTAAAATATATATTAAACAATTAAAATTATCTTTATATATTAAACAATTATTTATTATTTATATTTATATATTAAACAAATCTTTATATATTAAACAATTAAAATTATCATCTTAAAATATATATATATATAACAATAATAATAATAAGATTGAGCTGTGGCATAAAGCGAAGCTGACCAAATGAATATCGTCAACTATGACAGCTGAACTGTAAATAAAGTTTCATATTGCTTTCACATAGGCAACGTAACTGTTTTTAAACAAATTTTTGGAGTTTTTAACTGCATCCGGAAGTGTGTTCCAAACATTAACCACTCTATTTATTTACAATTATTTGGGAGTTGTTTGATTAGTCATTCCTTATTTCTTTTAATTGCACCTGCTGGCCCAGTACAATTGCCAGATTGGGATTTGTTTGGTGGATGGATCCAGGATGTATTATTGAGTCCAGTACTTTCCTTAAAATACTGAATTGCGTCTACTTGTGCGCTACGTTATTTGACTGATTGGATATTGAGTAGGGCTAGTCAATCTTTATATTTTTTTCCCCACAATGAATGACAAAACTTGGTGGCTCTTCTTTGTACTCGTTTGATAATTTTTTCATCAACTTTGTTTAATGGCACCTATGCAGGCTTGCCATACTTAAGGTGAGGTCTCACAAATGTGGTATAAAGTGTTTTAAACATTAAAGGGTTCCAGTATCTAAATGTCCGTTTAAGTAAAGCTTGCGCTGCATTAGCTTTAACTGCTGCAAGTTTTGATTGGACTGACCATTTCAGATTGCTAGCTATTAAATTAGTTATTAAGATTGCTCTTGGTATACAATAAGTACGTGCAGCAATTATCTTGATTTTGTATGCTAAATTTGTGATCATAGATTGTTGTTTTAGAAAATTTTCAAGGATTACCTCCTGGTCAAGAATTATATTAGTTTAATTAGTTATATCTATTATAAAGTTTAGATGTGTTTTATTAATTTATAATTTTGTAAAACCTCATTTTATGTAACATTAGTAATTTTTATAGTAAAGTTTCCTTAAACAATTTATAACCAATTCTAACAATTATGTAACAATTAAAAAACAAATTTGTATTCAACTAATTCATATTAGGTATCAAGACTAAATAGTATCTGCCCAAAAGAGTAAAATATATACATATTTTGTAAAACCTCGTGTAACACTAGTAATTTTTATAGTAGAGTTTCATTAAACAATTATATAACAATTTCTAATAACTATATAACAATTAAAAAACGAATTAGTATTTAATTAATTAATTTGTTTTAGGTATCAAGTTTAAATAGTATCTATGCACGAGAGTAAATAACTATATTAATAACTAATTAACATTATGAGTTTTTAAATGATTTTGACCAGAGAAAAAAAACTTTATATCTCTGCTCTTTAAAATCAGAGATATAAAATTATCTAAACTTTTTTTAAGTAGCTGAGAACATTTTCTCTTATAACTGTATTTTATTTTATTTTTTTTTGTTTTTTTCATTTAATTTTTTCATTTTTTTTTTTTTTTTTCACCGATGCAAAGTCATTGCAATGAATTTATTTTTAAATAAACTTAAAATTAGGGGTCGTCCATAAACCTCATGTCATTTTTGACTTTTTTTTTTTTTCCTTCCACCTCCTCGTCTTAACAATGCAACCCTTTAGTAACAAGTACTTTACAAGTTGTCACAAAACACTAACCCCTCTGCTAGAGCGAGATGTAATTTATCAACAAATCCGTATCAATTGTAAATGGCAAATTTTTTTTCTTTCTTATACCGAATTGTAATAAAATTATCAAATATCAACTTACCGTAATGGAGGAAAATAAAAAGAGACAAACACTTTTATTTTTCATACAATAACTTTAAATCTTTAACCGTGTAATGATTTTCATTGTCACAGCTGTTCCATAGACATAGAAAGCACATGTACTTTGTGTATCCCAGATCCCCACAAAGGCACCAGTTATGATCTCTATACTTGATAACGTCGAGAAATAACTATGA